TACACATAATAAATAACATCACCAAGAGTGATGGTGTAAACACACCACCTAGTGCTAGCCAGGACAGTCCCACAGGTTGGAAATTTTTGAATACTTTAATTTGTTGAGATTTTCTTGGAATATATGTAAAAATAAATATAGTGTGAAGGTGATTGATTAGGAATTCTCTATTGTATACATGTGTTGCAGTTATGCATTTTGCAGAATAATTTTTGCCTTTTAAGGGTATGAATTGATCTGGAGTGGCTGGGACTATAGTGGTAGTCTGAAGGCATTTTTATGGTGTGTTGTCTTATGCACTGCACAATCATTCTGTAGTTTTCTTTGTGTATCCATGTGTTGTGCACCTTGATTATAATTTAGGCTTGTGTGTCCTTGTAATCTGAGAAACACACCAAGATCTATGTTGAGACGTGAAAGCTGGACAATGGGGGGGGGGAGAGAGAGAGATAAAAGGCAGAGGGGATACTTAAACAAAAAACCAGTAGTCCCTGCACCAGGACTTGCCTTTATCCTTAATGCTGAGACAGCAGTGCAGAGTTCTGAAAATGGTTTGTACTGTTTAAGGGCCAACTTTCAGATGAGCCACTGAATCAAGATCCTGTTTTTTTTCTTCTTCTTCTTCTTTCTGGCTCTGTTGCCTGTCCAGGAGGAAGTGAGAGATCTTATGACATGTTTTAAAAGAGAAGGAAATGATCCCAGTATCTTGGTTAACATTCACTCTGTCAGTAAAATAGATTTTTCTCTGTGGATGCTGTTGATGAGTGCAAATGCCAAGTATGTCCAGCTTCTAGTCTCTTTATTCAATAGACCAGATCCTTAGCTGCTGTAAACCAGCATAGCTTCATAGTCAATGGAGCTACACTGATTTATACCTGCTGAGAATCTGGCCCAACAGTGACTTGTGACGCTTTGGGGATATCTTGAGTTTGAAAGGTGCTATATGAGACTCATTGTTTTCAAAAGATATTCTAGAACAATAAAATACAAATCCGAACCACTAGCAGCTAAAACAATTTTATGGACTCATTTTTAGGCCAGGCACTGTAAAGAACCCTATGGGTTGTATAACCTTATTGTGCAAAGTTATTCTTTCATCAAGTCTTCTCCTTTAGCAGAGACTCATTCATTGGGCTTGTGTTTTATGACTTATACTTTGTTTGAAGGCAGAAAGTGCATTAAATCACCCAAGCACCTTTGAAAGGATAATGCACTTAAAGTAATTTACCTCTTGGTGCTTAAAAAGTTAATTCTTTACAGTTTACTGTCCTTAAAATTAATATGAGTTGTCCTTCAATGAACAGTGAGTAAGATAAACATACAGGGGGCATAGTTAAAAAGTTTTACCCACTCGGAGCAAGGTATCAGATCTTACAGGTATGAGCAAGTATTCCCTATACTGATAATGAGGAGTATCTTTAGAACTGGTAATAGCTTACCTACTGGTAAAAAGGGAACAGAAGACTTTTAAACTGTGTGCCCAGGTGTAGTAGGTTTCACCCAGTGCGTCCATCTTGGATGATCATCTTTGTCTGCATTGTGTATTACCTAGGAAGTGCCTTACAACATTTGACCATTGTTCTAGTAGTCTCAGGGGCCTGTCTCCCAGAGTTGGCCAGTGCCTAATGCTTCAGAGAGGAATCCTCCCACCAAAATACAGCCACCTGTTTCCTGATGCAGAAGATTTGATGAGCTTTGTACGTTCTAAGTGGGCTCTAGTGTATTTGGTCATCAACTTCATATCTCTTTTTCCAAGAAGAGCTCACATATGCTGTCAGTATTTTCAGGTAGCAGAGGCGCTCCGCCTGAATCCCACCCTCTCCTTCCCTCCCCAGTTATAAAGAGAGGGGATGCCCAGTAGGGCATTCTCTGTGAGATCTCTGGAACTTGCTCCCCGCTCTTTAGTCTGAAACCATCCAGATTTGTTGACTTTCTGGGCACGCTGCAAAAGACACATGTTTGATAGGGTTTTCGGGAGAGGGCTGAGGGCAGGCGCCCCAGAAAGTGAGAGGATGGAACAGAGCTTTTTGTGTGGCTGGCTGAGTTCTTTCTGGAATTATTTAACTGGGCCAGAGTTTTGTGTGGTTGTGATATTAGTTGTGTGTCAGGAGACCAAGAGCTTTATATAGGCATAGAATCATAGAATATCAGGGTTGGAAGGGACCTCAGGAGGTCATCTAGTCCAACCCCCTTCTCAAAGCGGGACCAATCCCCAATTAAATCATCCCAGCCAGGGCTTTGTCAAGCCTGACCTTAAAAACTTCTAAGGAGGGAGATTCTACCACCTCCCTAGGTAACGCATTCCAGTGTTTCACCACCCTCCTAGTGAAAAAGTTTTTCCTAATATCCAACCTAAACCTCCCACACTGCAACTTGAGACCATTACTTCTTGTTCTGTCCTCCTCTACCACTGAGAATAGTCTAGAACCATCCTCTCTGGAACCACCTCTCAGGTAGTTGAAAGGAGCTATCAAATCCCCCCTCATTCTTCTCTTCTGCAGACTAAACAATCCCAGTTCCCTCAGCCTCTCCTCATAAGTCATGTGTTCCAGACCCCTAATCATTTTTGTTGCCCTTCGCTGGACTCTCTCCAATTTATCCACATCCTTCTTGTAGTGTGGGGCCCAAAACTGAACACAATACTCCAGAGGAGGCCTCACCAATGTCGAATAGAGGGGAACAATCACGTCCCTCGATCTGCTCGCTATGCCCCTACTTATACATCCCAAAATGCCATTGGCCTTCTTGGCAACAAGGGCACACTGCTGACTCATATCCAGCTTCTCGTCCACTGTCACCCCTAGGTCCTTTTCTGCAGAACTGCTGCCGAGCCATTCGGTCCCTAGTCTGTAGCGGTGCATTGGGTTCTTCCGTCCTAAGTGCAGGACCCTGCACTTATCCTTATTGAACCTCATCAGATTTCTTTTGGCCCAATCCTCCAATTTGTCTAGGTCCCTCTGTATCCTATCCCTGCCCTCCAGCGTATCTACCACTCCTCCTAGTTTAGTATCATCCGCAAATTTGCTGAGAGTGCAATCCACGCCATCCTCCAGATCATTTATGAAGATATTGAACAAAACCGGCCCCAGGACCGACACCTGGAGCACTCCACTTGACACCGGCTGCCAACTAGACATGGAGCCATTGATCACTACCCGTTGAGCCTGACAATCTAGCCAACTTTCTATCCACCTTATAGTGCATTCATCCAGCCCATATTTCTTTAACTTGCTGACAAGAATACTGTGGGAGACTGTGTCAAAAGCTTTGCTAAAGTCAAGAAACAATACATCCACTGCTTTCCCTTCATCCACAGAACCAGTAATTTCATCATAGAAGGCGATTAGATTAGTCAGGCATGACCTTCCCTTGGTGAATCCATGCTGACTGTTCCTGCTCACTTTCCTCTCATGTAAGTGCTTCAGGATTGATTCTTTGAGGACCTGCTCCATGATTTTTCCAGGGACTGAGGTGAGGCTGACTGGCCTGTAGTTCCCAGGATCCTCCTTCTTTCCTTTTTTAAAGATTGGCACTACATTAGCCTTTTTCCAGTCATCTGGGACTTCCCCCGTTCGCCACGAGTTTTCAAAGATAATGGCCAATGGCTCTGCAATCACAGCCGCCAATTCCTTTAGCACTCTCGGATGCAACTCGTCCGGCCCCATGGACTTGTGCACGTCCAGCTTTTCTAAATAGTCCCTAACCACCTCTTTTTCCACAGAGGGCTGGCCATCTACTCCCCATGCTGTGATGCCCAGCGCAGCAGTCTGGGAGCTGACCTTGTTAGTGAAGACAGAGGCAAAAAAAGCATTGAATACATTAGCTTTTTCCACATCCTCTGTCACTAGGTTGCCTCCCTCATTCAGTAAGGGGCCCACACTTTCCTTGGCTTTCTTCTTGTTGCCAACATACCTGAAGAAACCCTTCTTGTTACTCTTGACATCTCTTGCTAGCTGCAGCTCCAGGTGTGATTTGGCCCTCCTGATTTCATTCCTACATGCCCGAGCAATATTTTTATAGTAAAAATCTTAGCAAAAAAAATCTTAGCATTATTTTTCTTAGCAATATTTTTAATATATAATATATATATTTTAATATAATTTTCTTAGCAATATTTTTATAGTAAAAATCTTTCTTAGCATTTTTATAGCAAAAATCTTCTTGTTGCCAACATACCTGAAGAAATCCTTCTTGTTACTCGTGACATCTCTTGCTAGCTGCAGCTCCAGGTGCGATTTGGCCTTCCTGATTTCATTCCTACATGCTCGAGCAATATTTTTATAGCATCTTTTTATAGTATTCAAATTGAAATACTTAAAAGTGTGAAGCTGTGGCATATGGTGCTGATGCTTAGTTGGGTTACCTAATTTATTGTCCTTGATAAAATTCCTGGTCTCCTGAGAAATGGAACCAAACTATAGATGTCATACACCAATTGAAAGCTCATAAACTGGATATATCAAAAGTGATGGCAATTTTCATGTCAGTCATCTAGGACCTGATTATCCCAGGAGATGTACATATTAACAACAACACTTAACTGTTTTCATCAAGATCTAAAGTCCTGTGCACAGCTCCAAGTAATGTCCCTGATGCTAGCATGACCAAAGTATCATATGGTTTTCTTACAGGCAACAGGAAGGCAGTTTGTTTACTATACACAACTCACCAAAGACCAGTTTTCTTAGCAAACTCACGGCCAGCATGCAAATTAGCAAGTGGAGTTTTGTGTGGATCTAGCCTTCCATGTCGTCTTTTTGGGGATGATAAGTTTCATTTTCCTGCATTAGATATGAATCATGCTGCTTAACATCAGTGCTGGGGAGTTGGAAAGCTACAACAACAAAACACACAAACTACTTAACGGGCTGGACACCTAATTTTAGAAATAAGACTTGACATGCAGAATAACTACTGCTAGCACATGATTTATTGCTTACTATCCCATCATATGACATGCCCTCAGTTACTGGCATAAGAAGACTTATCTGACTGACACCACTGAATTAATTGCTCTCTGTTGCTGAGCAAGGTGAAGACTTGAAGTATAACAGGTTTGGTTTAGTCTTTGTTCTTTACTGAAATTGTGAAATTAACATTCTCTCCCCTCCGCCCCCGCTCCTTGTCGCTCTCTCCCCCCCCCCCCCCATACCCTCTCCTTTGTTCCGCTTTTAAGTTTAAAAATTGGTTTGTGCACATGTTGTTTCATATGATGGTAAATAGAACCTTTTAGCCAGCATAAGTGTGCCTGATCCAGGAATGTAGAAGATTGTATCTTGAAAAAAAATCAATATTAAGATGTACAATTGCTCCCATGGTATTGAAAGAATTAGTTGATCTACATGCCAAATGACAACCCCCTTGATAACAGGGATTATGTGTCCTGTCTTTCCAGGCTGTGCTTCTTGGGGGCTGCTCTCTTGGTCCCTGAGGCAGAGATAATCTAATTAGTACAACAAAGACCAGGTCAATTTGAAAAATGTAGGAGGGGATTGGAGAGAGTGGTTGTCGGGGGTGACCGTGTTACAGCTAGAGACAGGCTCTGGAAAGTTACAGGGGAAGAAGGGAAACATAGAGCACAATTTAATCTTCAGTTTGGCTCCACAAACACTGGAAAGGCAGACCCACTAGACTATTACCAGACAAGCATCAACTTAGTGAGTGCTTACAGCACACACATCATATGCACACACTCAGTCACACACAGGGAAGGAGGGGGTCAAAAGGAAACAAAAGTGATCTTGTTTTCAGTGGAGAGAAGATGGTTTTGACCTAGATAGGGCTGTCTGCTGTGAAGTCATGGGCTCCGGCTGGAAAGCCACTTGTTAACAAATGTTTCACCAAAAGACATAAGATTTCCTTTCCTCTCTATCAAAGAACATGGAAAACATCCAATGGTTCCCATTCAGCTGTCTGGCCCTATTCAGCAAAGCACTTAAATACATGCTTAACTTTAGGCACGTGCTAAAATCACATTGGCTTAATTTTAGGCACATGCCTAGAGTTCAGCACATGCTGGAGTGCTTTGCTGAACAGAGATGGACTTTAAATACAGATGCTTTTCAGAATTGGTCCCCAGTTTCTCAACTGGAGTAAAAAATCATCCTAGCTCTGTTTAATTCACTGAAGATCCTCAAAGCTATTTAGGCTTCCAATATCCATTGCAATCGTACTGACACCACCAAATTAATTGCTCTCTGGTGCTGAGGTGAGGTGAAGATATAACATGCAAGAGCTTTGGTTTAGTTTTTGTTTACTGAAATTGTGAAATTAACTTTTCTCCTGTATCTTCCCCCCCTTCTCATTTGTTCCAGTATTTGGAGTCATAATAAATAACAAAAGGTTACAATTTGCACAACTTGATGGGTATGAATCATTTCAAATTCCAGAGTCATTTTAAAATTACTAAATTATCAGCAATCCCCACTGGTCCTGAACCTAGCGATGGTTGGTTATTGATTTCTTTATTCCAGACCTAGTTTCCCATCCTGACTACAAGACACAGTGCTGCGGAAGCTTATGCAGGTACTATACCTAGTCCTTCAGCGTATCCCATCAGCCTCATAAACCTTGATGCCCTCGATAGCTGTAACCATTTTCAGCAGGGATCAGATGAACAGTGAGGGCCAGCTGGTCAGCTAGTGTAAACTGGCATAGCACTTTTGTGTTCCTCAGCACTGCCCATTTGCCTTAGGATCAGGACCTAAATAAATGACTATTTGCTTAACTACAAACTTTGTTTTTTGTCAGATTAAAAGCTATCGTGATGGAAAAAGATTGACTAAGTCCAACACTGGATTTGCATTTGTGTTACAAATGGGTCTGTGACCTGTTATCTACCAATTTTAAAACATTTTGAATTTCCAGTACAATTTGCAGGTTAGACATGGTTTTAAAAAACACTGCTGGCTACAGTATCTCAGGTAGGTATGTGCCAGAGTTGCAAATTTTGGAATGAGATCCAAGCTTTCCCAAAGCCAGGGGGTGTTTGTATTTGAGATTTTGGTTCTAACCATTACAGGCATAGGACCATAAAATTTAGATCTGAATCTAGATCCAAACTTGGCCAAAGTCCTGTGTTTTTTGGATCTGGATTTTGGTTGGAATCCATCTCTAATATGAATATTTCAAGCACTGCTTTTTCGCAAAATGGGTGCAGGGTTCTTTGAATGAAATATACTTTAGCAGCCTGAGGAAATGAGACATTGATCTCTCACATCTGGAAGTTTTTCTCTTCTAAGGATCATATGCAAATTAAATTCAAGCATTTTTGCACTGCTCCCCCCTGACCGTTGCATCCATGTCATCAAACCCAATCTTGTTGCTCTGGCAAATATTCACACAAATAAGAACATTGTAACAATGGGATCTTTCTTGTAACATTTCCTCCTCCTCCTCCTCCCCTTGTCCCTTGCTGCCTGTCTCCTACATTTGAGAGACAAAATTTGGAGAGGCAGAAAGATGAGATCATAGTTCTGTGAGGGGTGACCGGAAAACTGGCTGCGCCGTTCCGTGCTCCATGTACCCTTTCCCATGAAGCAGATCTGATTCTTTTTTCCCTATCCGCAACTGCGTGGAGACATCAGCACTTTGGAGACGGTGCTCGCCAGCCACTTTGGTAAAGCTTCAAGAGTGCAGATAAGGCCCTGAGACGTGGAGCCATCCAAATGTGAATGTCTAGAGCTGAGTTTGCGTTCCTGGCTTTGCTTATTGTATTTATTTACTTTAATTAAGATATTGAAATAAGTTTAGAAATAGGAATTAGCAAGGCACCAAGTCTTAATACTCTTTGGGAATTGTCACAGACTGCAGAGTGATTCTGCTGGGGATGCTGTAGGTACCCCAATTGTCATTAATCTCAATTATGGATAAAGATACAGTCATTCATTCACGTTTGTCAGTTTGCTACTGGCTGGGCTCCCCCTGCTTGGCTCTTAAACTCCAATCTAGGCATTCAGATATAGCCGGTTAACTGTCAAAGCTGGGTTTTTAGAAGAGCCTAAGGGGGTAAAGCAATGGGACTTGAGCACCTTTGCTTCTAGTTCCAGTCCTAAGGACCTGATGAGTGCATTTCTATGCAGAAAATGGAACCCTGATTTCAAACACTGCCATTACATCATTACAGGTACCGTTGGAATTATTGTTATGTATAAAGTGCCAGAGGTGGGCTAGCCCTTACAGACAAGTAAAAAAGCTCCCTGTCCTGGGGAGCTTACAATCTAACTGTGTCATAGGAAACACAGCTAATTAAGCTGTTCTAGAGCAAGAAATGGCAAATTCTGCTCTGTATATGAGCCACATACCGAAAGTCTGAAGCCAAGTGACTATGAATTCCCTCTAGACTATTAATGTGTTTCACTTGTTAGAGAATAATTAGAGAGATTCCATTTACATCAATGGGAGGTTTGCCTTTGACTTCAGTGCGACCAGGATTTGGCCCTTTGGGCCCAGACTTTTGTAGTTGGTTGGTTGTTAACCAACTTGATGTTGAAAAAATGGATTACACTTGATAGATCTAGAAAACAGATCTTGGACTGACTAGGAAGTAGCCATTTAAAAAGTGCAAATGTGACCATCAGTCAAGGTTATTAAAATGCTTTACATCTCCTAGGCTGCCTTTGCACCCCACTAGTCTAGTTTAAAAATTCAAATTGAATTCACATCCAATTCACTTCCCCATATCTACTTGGTATTTGATGTTAACCCTGTGAGAGAAGATCCTGTCTTTTAGAACCCAAATATGAATGTACCAAGGAACATATTCTCCTGGTGTCACTTTTTGAAAATCATAGACAAAGAAGACTTATTAGGTCACCTTGTCCATCTCCCTAACGACACAGAATAGTTCCTTATGGTATATTGCTTGGTCCACCCCCTTGATTTAGTAAGCTTTTGAGGACAGACACCATATCTTTGTTCTGTGTTTAAACAATACCTAGCACAATGGGGACTTGCACCATGACTGGGACTCCTAGGCACTATTGCAATATAATAATAGTATGCCCTGTTATGTGGCTCATACCAGCCCCTGGGAAAACCCAACCTTTTGCAATACAGTTAGGATAGACTATGGACTGCGGTGATTTATTCCTATTAATAACTGTATTCACTAATACTGAGAGGCCGGCCTTGAAATTCTGGCATTTCTCTATCTGTAAAGTATGTTGTTTATCCAAAAAAAACAAAAAAAAAAACCTTTTGCATCAGATGAAAACTATTCTTCCTTCCCATGTTACTCACTTAAGCAACATGGTTCAAGTTTAATTCCTGTGGGATTTGTGGGGGTATGGTATATCACTTCTGATGTATTCCATAGCAACATTATTAAATGATTGTGAGATGTATTGTTGGATCTTATCATTTGATGCCTTTGGATACTGCAGCATTTTGTGCAACTGCAGATTTAACAAAAATATATTAATTCTTGTTTCATTTGATAAAAGACCATAAAGAGTGAAATAGAGCAAACCAGATATAATAGAACAGAACAGAACTGTTTGCATGGGAACACTGGGAACTGTGTGTCTCACCCTCACAGGCCACAAAGATAATTTCCTGACTACTTAGTAGTAGTTGGTTTAAAAAAAAAAAAACTATTAGACAACTTCTCCTCACTCAAGGGAAATGTCTATCAGCAAAGCTGATTAGAGATAAGGGTAAGCAGATGTCAAAACAGAAGACCACCAAAGAACTGGGGGTCCCAACACGAACTGGGAGAGTTCCAACAGGTAATAAAAGTGGGGCTGTCTGTCATAGCAAGATTTAGAGCCCAGTCCTGCCTTCCCTGTGCTGCCACAACTCCTCTTGACTCCAATGGGAGTTTTACCCGAAGTAGCACTGCAGGATTGGTCTCTGTGGTTGGGTGTTGCAGATATACCTTGCAGTTTTACATATGAGAAAATATATGTTTTCATCCCTCTTGTTAACACTTTTTTTCCTTTTTAAAAACACCATTTTTCCATAGTCACAGTCCTAGAGTCTGAACTGAAATGGAAAACGATAGGCAAAACAAAGATGGAGAACAGTATTGCAGATTCTCCTAGTAATTCGTTAT